GATACGTTCTGGGTTAATTTGACAGCTGATTGTGCCTGGCGCCATCTGTTGGCACTTAATGGAAATGCATTTTATACTGAATATGTCAAATATAATATTAAGTGCTGAAATGCTTACAAAATCGACAGATATGTGAGAATAGTGCAGCTCGCAAATGCTAGGTTTCCTATAGCAGCTATATGATATAGGGGTCCGCTGCTGATAAAATTTCGCGTACATATGAGGATCATAATGGAAGTAATAAATCGCGAGTTTCGTTAAGTTATTTTAATATAAAAAGGTTTCCATATCAAAACCTAGTTTTCGACCGATCGTTCCTTTGGCAGCTATTTGATGTATAAGACCGATGTTGATAAGATTTGGGAAATATGTAGGGAGCATAGTAGAACTTATAAATGCCGAGTTTGGGTTTGATATCTTGATCATCAAACAAGTTTTCATACGAGAACTTACTTTTGGACCGTTCGTTCCTTTGCTAGCTACATGATATAGTGGTCCGATCCGATTAGCTCCGACATATGTATTCCCTGCAACAGAAAGACGGATCTATGCAAAGTTTCAAGACGATTGATGATGCTGATATGGAATAGGATATATTCTTTATGGGGTCGGAGATGTCTCCTTCTATAAGTTACACATTTAATGACGAAATTATAATATCCTCTACAAGGGTATACAAAATTGCCAATTTTATGGAACAGAATGAGGAATATATATACTTTTATTTCAACTTGCCTTTGCAGTCGCATCATTACAATGAGGATAAAAATGCATCTCATCTCTCATCTGTTTGACTTTGGGCCCAGGCTGAGTTCGCCTGTTGGCTGCCAGCAACCGCTTTGACTGTCAATGCTGCCAACTAAATGTCGCATGCCGCGTGTGCAACATTTTATCACTTCAGTCAGACCGTATAATTTAACGTAAAATCTCTGAGGCCAAGCGCAACACAGCCAAAGGGAGGCATATGTTGCCTGGGTAGAAACTGGCAGACACATGTGGCTGCCACAAATGGTGACAACTATTTGCACAGTTGACTAACTGATGCGTTTCTCCTGCTGCGGCTGTTTGTTTTGGGCACGCTTTGCCCAGCTACGGCCACAGATACAAATGCAGACAGAGCAACAGATACAGATACATTTGCGCAAAGCGTTGGCCATAATTAATATAGAAACACTTGCAACAACAATTAGCAACAGTCGGCGGGCAAAAAAAACAAAGCTAATTAGCCGGCAAATAATAGACGAGCATAAATAAACTTTTTGTTACACTTACCGCAGGGTATTTGGATTTTGTGAACCTGTTTAATGTGCATAGAAACATTCAAATTTTTAGGTAAAAGATTATTATCTCGTGTTACTTTTAGTCTTAAAATGCAGATTTAGCTGGATCAGAAATAAAATAAGTTGATGCCTGACAAAAAAACGCTTTAATACACTAAGTACGAAGTTACGGGTTCGAGCCCCCAAGAAAACGGATGATAAAACTTAAAAAAACAAGTTACCAGTTTTTAAACATGTTTAATTTATCAACCATGAGTTTATCCGTTTACATCTAAGCAAAGCTAGATGCAAGAGCATTAATACTTCGTCTGGTTTCATATTTTCCATTTTCCTCGATTGTCCGTTGCTGCTAAAACGAGCGCCTTCAAATTAGTTTGGGGCGTTTGCGGCAATTAGCGGCAAAAGCGAAAAATAGAATTAATAAAAAAGAAAACAAAAGCAATAGGCACAAATATTAGAAGCAAATGTGCCATCATCTAAGTATAGGCTCAATCGAATTAAGCAATTAGGGCTTATGTTAATCAGCAGCAAGGGGAGCACTTGGGGAGCTCACAACAGCCGCAACATCAGCAGAAACTGCCTCACAACAGCCCAAAAACCGAACCCATGTGTATTATCTAAGTTCGACTTCCGGGCTACGGTGTTTCCTTTGAAACTTCAGGTCAGACAGACCTTAAGCAAGATTTATATATTTACTTCAATACGTAATATTATTTTCTCGCTCTCTCTCTCTCTCTCATTGAAACCTTTGGCTCACATAATTGCTTTGAAAGAGTTTGGTTTCTGTTTTAGTTTTATGTTTTTTTTTCGAGGTGTGTCTGCATTTTTATTTGGATCACTTCAAAGTGTTCCGCGCTACGAAATGATATTTTATTTTTTGTTTTTCATATTTATTTTCGTTATCATGGATCCCAGCAGCAAGAAAAACAACAACAACAACAACAACAACAAACACACATAATTAGTGTAATTAACGCTTTTTGGCTGAGTGCGTGCAGAAAATTGTGTGTGAAAGTGCGTGGCGCTCTTTGAATATTTTGTTTTCCATTTGTTTGCTGCTGTTGTTGTTTTTCAGTTCGTTCAACTGATTTATGAGCCAGCACGTTGTGGCTGCAGTTCCGATTGACTGCGACTGCGCTGCGACTGTGAGTGTGGCTCGAACCGAACCGGGCAACATTTCAACTGATCTCGTGTTAATTTGTGAATAATCTTTGTGAATGGCACGAAATGCAAACGGAATGTCTGCACTTGAAAACGGGATTCATCTTCTAGATATGCTATGCAGCTGCCAGATAACTAGATGAATGTTTAGATTGATGAGCTAAGATAACAGCATATATATATAGCACTTTAATTAGCAGGCAGATTGGCTGGCTCAGTTACACACTGTAGATGTGGTCCAGAGAAAAACAAATTAGTTGCGAAGACAGTTGAATTGATTATTATTTGAAATACTAATTAGTCCCATCTAATGCAATTTCTATGAAATTGTTGCAAGTGGAGCCTAGTTAAAGTAACTATTAATATAGTTACTGGAAAAAATAATTTGATAATATTCTTATGTATACGAATGTTATTGTTCTTTTTGGAAACGCAATAACTTAAATGAAAACGCATTCAAATATTTGATTTAAAATTATATTTGTTGTATAAGCTACTGAGAACTAAAATCATCTAAGATAATTTTAAAAATTCTATCTTTTATAGCTCAAAGAAACCTTTTTTTGTAATAAAAATAAATACATTTATAATTATTTGTATAGTACGTACAAAACAAATGCTCATACGGTTTACTTATTTTTCCTTTCAACAACATATATATATATATCTCTATATATATAACTGTTTGTCCTGACTGACTGACTGATTGGTGATCAACGCACAGCCCAAACCGTAAGAGCTAGGAAGCTGAAATCTTCACTGTAGCTACCTTATGTGATGTAGGTGCACGTTAAGACGGGGTTTCGGGAAATTCCACCCGCAAGTGTGGAAAAATCGCGAAAAACGTTTGTATGTAACTTTTTTGTTTACCATCCGATCGGCCCCAAACTTATTTTCAAAGATCTTTGTTCAAATTCATTTGAGGGGTGTTTCGTACTTTTCGGAAAACCCATTCCTCCTTGGTGGAAATGGAGGTCAAAGATTTGGTGGGTGACGTTTCGCGCTCAAATTCGATTCCAAAGATCTATAAGAAAAATCATTTGAGACGTGTTTCACACTTTTCGCAGAATTCAAACATTTTCGGGTGGAATGCGACTCAAAGATTTTTTATTGCGAAGTTTTTAATTGTGTCCGATTTGCTTCAAACTTATTTTCAAAGGTATCCATAAAAATGTAATGAGTACGTGTTTCAGCGATTTAGGAAATTCCACTCGCAACAGTGGTAAATTGGCGGAAAACGTTTGTATGAAAGTTATTTGTTTACCGTCCGATCAGTTTCAAAATCAGTTCCAAATTTGTTTGAGAACATTGATTTTATAACATACGTGCCACGGGCAAGGCCGGGTTATACCCGCTAGTATATATATATATATATACAATTTAATTAAAGAACTAGCTGATTATGAGTTTAAAATGCTAAACTAAGAATAATTTCTAATGCCTGAAAATCATTTTTTTTAAGTTCTTCTAGAAACCGTGCGCTTAAATAAAGTTGCGCAATTATATAGATTATACGATTAATATTTCAGCTGAAAAAGTTCATGCTCAGTTCTCTTCAAAGTCAATACATAAAATGTATATATATATAATAAATTATTTTTTTAATGGAATTAGGCTGTAGATTATTTTTGTAAACTTAGCTGAATTGTGTTTGCTATTATATTTCTCTTATACAGCCCTTGTGCACGCAGTTTTGTATCTGTGGCACTTATTGCCAAGACACTGTGTTCCCCACCCACTCTTTGCGCCCCACACACGAACGACTTGTTTACCACATCAAATCTAATAAAAATCACCACGCACAATTTGTAGCCATCAATTGGGCGTCAATGACAGGCACAGACAGACACAAAAGAGAGTCGCATTTGTGGGCTCACGCAGACCGAGAAGTAGGAACTGGGAACTGTGAAGTGAGAATTGAGAACTGAGAACTGAGTGCTGAGTGCTGAGAACTGGTGCAGGGTTTGCAGGGTACGCAGCAAATGACAAATCTTCTGCACTGGCATAATATAATAACGGCAAGAAAGTAGCTTTGTAATAGGTCTACATATTTTTCATCGCAACGAATTTGACTGACATTCAAGTTCCTGCCCCCATTCGACTCTACACGCCCCATCTTCCTTTCAAAAATGTGATGTTTGCTTCTTATTTATATTTTTTTCTACTGTGGCTCGCAAGTGATGAAATAAATCATTTTGGGAGTGGCAGCATGAGATATAGACACGTGATGATGAGATGGAGATGGAGCTGCACACAGATACAGATACAATATCTAGTTTTTGTTGTTTTTGTTGTTGTTACTGTTGCTGGTGGTGGTGCTGCTGTTGTAGCAAGTGCAAGTGTCAATTACAAACCATGTCAAAAATGTCAAACTCTGTGAGTGACTGGCTTGGAGCGCAGGGCACAAAAACAAAGTTTAAATGCTTCGAGCCAACGTAAATACCCTGTAAATATCTTTTATTTATATCTTATTCTTATTTCATTTTATTATTAGTTTTCTTCTATTATTAAATTATCCATTAAAAACTAATTTGAATTATTTTATTTTATTTAAAACAGTTTTCATTAAGTTTTGTCTTCAGAGATCTTTGGATGGAACCAGTTGGAATTGGAAATTTCTTCAAAAGGTAAGTGTTTGTTTATATTTATAATATATTAAGTTCAGAGCTTTTCTTTCTATTCTTGAAGATATACATTAAAATTATTCTCTACCATCTCAGATATTCTGTGCTTTTTAGTGCAGGGTATGCCAAATATATAGTTCGTCCAGTCTAGAGTCGTATTGGCTGCGGGTTAGCACCCCTGCATGGCAGCACTGGCTGCCAGGAGGGTCGTCATTCTCATACCCAATCTCATCCTCATTCTCATTCACATTCTCATCGACATCGACAAGTTTGTCCTGTCAGCGCCGCAGTCGCGTAGAGTTTATTACATCAATTTGTGTGTGCGAGACCTGCCCTGGGTCGCCCCCGCGTTCGCTCCTCCTCTTGCTCTATCCATTTCAGCCGTGTATGGGAAATTTGATACAAATGAGTTTTCACACTTTGCGTACGGACACATGCACATGTCTCTATATCTGCATGTGTATCTGTTTCTGTATCTGTATCTACATGCTTGTAGCTACAAAGCAAATGCGCATCCATAGAGCGTATCTTGCGCGCGTTCCCAGTATCCTTTTCCATCAACGTGTAAATTGTGCGCTGTCAAACTTATGACATTCCGCGTTGATGTGCCCGCCTCACATTTGCTTACCAGCTACAGAGAAAAAATATATATTGCTGTATATACTGTGTATATGTATTTGTGATAAATCCCCAACAATAGAATCTACCACAAGGGCTCGGGCGCTCTCGTTATTGTAAATTAGATTTCGTTTAGGACTGCATCTTCTTGTACATTTTACTCTCCTTTTTTTGCTCGGAGTGGTCTACGGGGAGAGATGTGCGATGTTATATGAAATACGCCGGAATGGTCTAGGGTAATATTCCCGCATATTAATTGCTGCTCATTTTTATGTCTGTGGCGCACTCATATGCGATTAATATTTGTCGTCCCGTTGCGACAGACCGATTCGAAAAAGGGGTTCTGCCTTTTTAATTACTTCTCAAATGAGGCCATTATTGGTGCCTTTGCGTTGCTGGGGGAGGCAGAGCACCCAGCATCCCATTGGCCTATTAATTTATAGTTTTTATATGCTGAAACAGCTGAGCAACAGCACCTTAAGATCAATATGTGCAGGAAACAAGTGCAGTTTTGTTTGGTTTTCTGTTTCTATTGGGAAACGTAAGTTGTTTCTTACTAAGAATATCCATTCATATACTTTTAAATATAATAAGCTGATGAGAACAACTTGTGAGAGTTTGAATGCTAGGAGAGAGTATTCAATGGATGTACTTACTTGTCAAAATAATTTCTCAATTGCAAAGCTCTATTTCATCTAACCAATGCCCATGCCGTTTCACCTATATATAGAATATAACAGCCTTAACATTTCATAGAATCGTGGCATCAGAATCTTATTTAAAGGCGCTTTCTGTGAAGCCGGTGACATTTGGTGTTGTTCGCGAATTAAAAATATTTCTTTATCAGCGCGAAAAAAATAATTATATGCTCATGCAAAATGTTCTTAAATTTTAAAATGTTTGCGATTTTAATAACTATATGGCCTGTGGATGTAGCTACAGACTCTTTGACCGGAAATGAATCAGTGAGTAAATAAGGCTAACGTGAATTTGATAACAAAATTTACAAATTCTTTCCAGTCTTGCAAGTCTTTTGACGAAAATGATGAAATATGCAGTGCATATGCCTATCGAATAACAAAGCCAATGCTTGAGTATTTTGCAAAGGCAAACAATGAAATCAAAATAAAAAATAAGAAAATTGCTGAATTGGAACAAATTGTCGAAACTAATTCAATAACTCTCAAAAACAACGTACAACAATTAACAAAACTAAATGAGAAATCTGTGAAATGTGAAATAGAGTTGCAGAATACGACAACCAAAAACCCAAATTTAAAAGATAGTTTAGATATTTACGAGGCAGAGATCGTCTAAGCACAGTCAAACCTCTCTTTATGCGTAGCTGATAAAGATTTCGAACTTAACAGCCTTAAAAAGAAATTAGTTAAATACAAACAGATAGTTGAGTATCCCCCGACCAGTTGTGTTGATCTTAAGAACTACTCGGGAATCCTTGCATTAAAAGTTGAAGGCTTGGACCCGTTTGTCGGGTCATGCGATTCGAATCTGGCGGGATCAGGGTGGACCGTAATGCAACGCCGCATTGACGGAAAAGTCGACTTCTATCGACCATGGCAGGATTACAAACATGGCTTTCGAAACGTCAAAGAAGAATTCTGGCTTGGACTTGAAAAGCTACACAGAATTACGAGCGCACAGAGATACGAACTTTACATTCAACTGGTGGATCAGGAAAATGAAACGCGTTTTGCCAGATATGATATGATGATTTTCGAATTGGAAGTGAGCAAGAGAAATACAAGTTGATTTCAATTGGCAAATTCAGTGGAAATGCCGGTGATTCCATGGAATACCACAAAGGAAGTAATTTTTCAACCTACGATAGTGATAACAAACAGAGTTGTGCTTCGATGTTGAAAGGTAGCTGGTGGTATAAAAGCTGCGCGTTTAGGTAAATCAATTATTATATTATGTTGTTACTTTTTATAATGCTTAATATTTGCAATAATTTTCTTAGCAACCTAAACGGTAAAAGGTTCGACTGTAACGTTGAAGACACGAATGAGTTAGAAACCACTGGATGCATTTACTGGCAGCATTGGCATGGCCGGAGTCACTCCCTAAAATATGTCCAAATGATGATACGACCATTTTAATATAATTAATAGAGTCTATTAAATAACAAGTTTCTTCGACGAAAATATGAGAAATATGTTTAAAAAATAATTAATTTTCGAACTTTAGAAATGCCAAGTGTAACGTTTTTGTTTTTAATTGAATGAACAGTTCTATAAGTTTTGCAAAAACTATTCATGTTAATGTTACCAAATAAGAGATATATGTATTACTAGCGGGTATAACCCGGCCTTGCCCGTGGCACGTATGTTATAAAATCAATGTAAAATCAACAAACTTAAAATTCACCAAAAAAAACTTTGAAATGCATTTTCCACCGAAGGAGTTTAGATTTTGCGAAAAATGTGAAACACGTCTTAAATGATTTTTCTTATAGATCTTTGGAAATAAATTTGAACACAAAACGTCACCCACCAAATTTTTGACCCCCATTTCCACCAAGGAGGGATGCATTTTCCAAAAAGTGCGAAACACCCCTCAAATGAATTTGAACAAAGACCTTTGAAAATAAATTTGAGGCCGATCGGATGGTAAACAAAAAAGTTACATACAAACGTTTTTCGCGATTTTTCCACAGTTGCGGTTGGAATTTCCCGAAACCCCGTCTTAACGTGCACCTACATCACATAAGGTAACTACAGTGAAAATTTCAGCTTCTTAGCTCTTACGGTTTGGGCTGTGTGTTGATCACCAGTCAGTCAGTCAGTCAGTCAGGACAAACAGTTTTATATATAGAGATATATATATTTTAAATATTCCTGACTTCTTAATACTGCTTACTGCTTACTTAATAATAAAACTTAAATACAAAAATATTGAAGTTTACGGACAGATGGACGGATAGAAGGGCAGACAGACAAGGCTAGATCGACTCGGCTATTGATGCCGATCAAGAATATGTGTACATTTACAGAAAACCAATATACCCTTTTTAACCATTTTCAATGAGCTGATTCGCGCTCCACGCTAAAATACATGCTAAGAACCCTTATATTGAGTTAACATCATTCAAGAGGCGGCGGTTACGAGCAATGAACAGCTGCCAGCAACCGCTAAGCTCAAATATTGTTCCCAGCCACGACAACAACCAACAGCAACAGCTACAACAACTGCAACAATTGCAACAGCTATGCAACATTGTTGGGCAATGGCTTAGCACGTTGACGCGCTGCGTTGGCTTTATATATTGGTCAGTTAAGACGTGTCACTGGGCACGCCCCCTGCCTGACTGTAGCCAGCCCTAGTGACTGGGCCAGCACACACAAACAAAAAATTTCACGCATCAGTCGTCAGCGGCAGTGGCAGCGGCAACATGGCCGTAGGAGAAGGCTCAAAACTCGCGCAATTAGAACGCCATTAAAAGGGGCATAACAACAATGTTGTTGCTGTTGTTGCTGCTTTTGTTGTTGTAGCTGCGAATACTCGTACCTGTAGCAAAGTTGGCAACGCCCCCATTATTCATGCTTTCAGTTCGCCAACTGTCCGGCTGTCTGCTGTTGGGTTCGCCAGGTGGGGTGAGGGTGGGTGAGGCAGGAGTCTGCTAAATGGAGATCGATGGCTGAGCGTGGTCTCATTAATCAAATGACAAGTAAGCGCGTTGGCCGACTCACTGACTGCACTGCATGAGCGCACGAATGAGTGCACGAATGAATGACGCGACGTCTCTAACCGCCCACCGCCCCTCCCTTTGTCTGTTTACCTCTTCGCGTTCTCTCTGCACCTTAAATTAAAGGTGCGCGCAAGCGCTTTCCAATTGCAACGAAGCAGCAAAGCGGAAATGTAATGGCTGCTGCAACACTTCAATAATCAGCTTTGCACACACACATACATACACACACGGCCACACACACACTCACATGCCTTAAGTGAATTTCACTTGCCGAATAAATGACCAAAAGCCAAAAATTGTATTTGCGGCTTTATGTCTTTGTCTCTGGAACTGTGCTAATTAAGGCTGTCCTCCAGCTGAGTAGCTGTTACCAACTCTGTTAACCAACACTATTAATTATTTGGACGGCATTTATGTGGAATTTTATGCGGCTGCAGAACACCCTAGGCAACAAATATGGAGTGTTCTGCTTTTTAGGTATATATTTTGCATAAATTGGACCGTTCTTTAGCTTGAGTGTGCAGTATTGTTAAATGTAAGTTTTAAAAGTAGTTCACAATAATTTTGAAAAGCTATGTTGGCTAACGCAAGTAAAAAGTATTGCAGAATGAGATTTAAAAAGAAACATTTGTTGTAAAGTGTAAATACTCTATGTAATGTACAGTGCTCTACGAAG